CTGCAAAAGGACTGTCCGAGGGGCTCTGTTGTTATCCCCCACCTCAGGAGACTGAGCACAAGCTGGGCTCTGAGGTCACCCCACTCTAGGCACTCAGACCTATGGAGAAAATCATTATATGGCAGAGATGAAAGCTGGGGCTTCTGCAGGTGGGATGGTAAAACAATAAATGTATCAGCCTTTCCTGCAACCTGTCCATAAAACAGAGCTTTCCAAAACAGTATGAGATGTTAAACCAGCTGCTCAGTCTTCAGCACTCCCAGAAGTTAAAAATCCATCAGGACCTTCTCTCCCGACTGCCAACACAGCTGGAGCTGCCAGCACCTCGCTGAGCACTGCCCTGCAAGGAGGAGATGCCAGGGGATGGGATTTGGCACTTTGCCTTTGGTAATTCCCTGCCCTGTGCTCTCCTGGCATTAAGGTTCATTAGCACCATGCCTGGGCAATCAGCCAGCAGAGAGCAGCACGTGGGGAGCCAAAGGCAGGATAATGTTAAAATACACCCCCAGAAAGGGCTCTGGATTAATACATTTGCTCACTGTCTACTGTGTTATTAATTTTTTAATTAGTTAGTCAATTAAAACTAATCCTCCCTGTAGTAACTGAAGGGAGACTACAAGAAAGAGAGAAACTTTTTACAAGGGCATGGAGTGACAAGAGAAAGGGGAATGGCTTCAAATGGAGAGGGCAGGGTTAGATGGGATACTGGGGAGAAATTCTTCCCTGTGAGGGTGATGAGGCCATTGCTGAGATTCCCAGAGAAGCTGTGGCTGCCCCTGGATCCTTTGAAGTGTCCAAGACCAGGCTGGACAGAGCTTGGAGCAGCCTGGGATAGTGTAAGGAGTCCCTGCCCACGGCAAGGATTGGAACAAGCTGATTTTTAATGTTCTTTCCAACCCCAACCATTCAATGGTTCTAAAATTCTATGAATTACAGCTACTTTATACCAATTGAGGCCTTAAAAGATATCACTATTTAATTTTGGAGCTAAGAATGTTTAGTCAAAATAAACCCAGAACTTAAATTGCAGCTGCGTTAGGAAGAAAAAGGAGGAAAAGTCCAACTACAAGACAGATAAAGTATTGTTTTCTGATCTCACAGGCTTAAATGAAAACAATTATTATAAATTACAGGGGAACACACTGGAATAATTTAACTTTCAAAATAACAATGTTTCACTTCATGACAAAACAAAAGCTGGAGCTGGAGGAATCCTTTACAAGCCCCAGGAGAAGCATCACAGATCTCAAACACACAAGTCCATATGTTCACTCTGCTGTGAGCCAACAGCTGCCCAAATAACTGACAAGGGATCAAAAGTGGGGAGTCTGAACTCCAAACACTGCAAGGTGTGCACATACACACTTCCTTCCTACAGGAAAAAAAAGGAAAAAATATTAAACACAGTCCCCTCACTGCTACAGGAAACTCAACCCCCCTGGGATGTTACACTGCAAGGAGCCAAATCTGGCACCCAAAAACAGCAAAGCAATTTCAGGGCATTTTCTCTTTCATATATAATTTTATTTCTGGTTATAGAAACAAATGCTAAGAGGAGAAGCAACATTCCCCAACCACATACATCAAATTAAGGTAACAGAACAGTTAAAATAAATGAAAAAAAAAAAAAAAGTAGAAATTTAAACCTTTGTTATAGCTTTAAAATATTAACGTTCTCGATACATTAGAAATCACATTCAGATCTCAAATTACTTAAAAAATGTATGGCTCTATATTAAAAAAACAAACAAACAAAACCACTGTATCCCATCTGAAGTGGAAATGCAGGATCCCACACCCTGCTGGGAGCCAGGGCTGCCTCCAGCACCTCACAGGAGCAGCAACATGGCCAGAGAAAGAACTTGAGCTTCACATCCACTGCCCCTTGGGATACACATCTGCTTTTTAAAAAGCACTGATAACGAAAACAAGTCACAAAAAAACCCCAAAACAACTTTTGATATCAGCTGTAAAAAAAAAAAAAAAAAACCAAAACAAAACAACCCCACAAACCCCAAAACATCTGGCTGGAGGTGTCTTGCACAGGCAACACCAGGAACTGAAATGCAAGCATGGCTTTAGTTTCCCCTTTCCATCACCTTCTTATTTTATAAAATAAGTGCCAAACGGAGGTGAAAGGGGTAAGGCTGGCCCAGATCTCTGTAGCAAACCCTTCTGTGAAGCCACTGAGGTATTTCAGGTTCTCCTCTCAGCCTTCCCCAGGGACTCGGGGGGAATGAGCATCTGCAGAACAGGGGGAGAGTTGGATTTTTCTGAATTTGTTTTTTATTAGAGCAATTATTCAGGGTTGGATGTGAATTTCCAGCTTTACCATCCGTTGCTCACACACAGCTTTTGATTTATCCCTAAACAGCTTTTAACAGTCCTTTGGATAACAGTCCTTTGGATAGCTACAGACTCTCAAAATGCTCTTTTTGGCTACGTGGTGGTTGGCTGGCAGGCTGGGCAAGGCCAGCCCCCTCAGCACAAACAGCATGTCCAGAACCCAACACAACACATGGTCTTGTAAGATTTTCATGTTTTAAAGCCATTTTCTGTATCACTATATTTGAATGAGTTTGGTTTTACTTTTCTGTTTTTTTTCTTTTTCTTTTTTTTTTTTTTTTTACATTCTGTTTTCTATTAAAGCAAAATGATCTTACAAACAATACTCTGGTTCCCTCTACTTCAAGCCCATTTGAGGGAGAAAAAAAAAAGAGAGATTAAGCAAGTTTAGGTTTACAGTAATTCAATTGCTACAGAGCCAACTTAGCAGCCTGCCCACCTCCCAAGAGCAGCATATAAATCAGCAGAACATCAGGATGTTCTGCAGCAGACTTTTAGCAGCAAGACAGTGAAACAGAAGGGATTCTCACTTTTTCTGCTCCATTTAAATCTCATTTTTCTTCAGCTAGCAGACATTTCTCCTCACCATTGCCCTTAGCTTTAAGGAAGGCTCTGTCTCAGACTGCTTTAGGTGGAAGTGAGGTGGGGTAGGAGCAGGACAGAGAGGTCCAGATCACAGCATAGCCTGGCAGCAGACACAGCCACATATTGGGGAAGTCTGGGCTTCACAGGGGCTGTTTTCTGCTGGATGAGGAGGAAAGCTGCTTCCTTTCACTGCTCCTATCACCAGCCCTGTCCTCCCTGAAGAACTGAAGCCCCATCACCAGGCAGGGATTGCTGAGGGGAAGCTTTCACTCAGATCCTCACAGAGAATTTCCGGAAGAGCAATTAGGATTAGGAAGTCAAATATCACTTGCTTTTATTCTGAAAAGATCCAAGTGGTTCAAAATACACCCTTCTGTGAATTTAGTGATCCCTGTGGAATTAAATCACAACTGAACTTTGGCCAGTTCAGTAAAATTTACTCCCTGTGAATTGAAACATTAGAAAAACTCTTCTGTGCTTGTTTTTAAGGGGATATAGACACACCTCACCCCAAAAAGAGACAGAAGCATGACAAAAGGAAAATAATCTCACCACAGAGGAAAAGAAACAATTTCCTAGTGCCCCAGTGTTAGCTTAGCCACCTGACAGAGAGGAATTCCTCAGCCTTACAGCATCCTCATGGGTCCCCCATCAATCTCCTCTGTTAGAAATCAGGTCCCATTACTGACAGAGCAGAATCTGTAAAGAACTCCCTGATACTGCATCTAGAGAGAACTGCAGACAAGGAAGGATTCCAGCTTTCATTAGTGCCATTTGGGAGGGGTTTCTTGCCAGAAAAGCAGCGTGGGCTGGGGCTGCTGCAAGCAGGACAAAGGCAGAAGCAGGGATCCTACACAAGGAAGATGCAAGTACCAAGCTGCCTCTTCTGCTCTGTGAGAGGAATGAAAGCAATCACTGAAGTAAAGCTGCTTCCACTGGCTGCTCACATTCATTACAAAAATAGGTTTATCATTCTTTCAGAGTCAGTGCCTGGTGCAGGAATTACCAACACACTGTATAAAAGTCTGTGTAAGTACCATTCAAGAGAAAGAAATAGTCATGGACCATTTATATATCTATATTGACACACACGCTCACACACTCACACATTAATAAATATAAATTTTATGTTTACACAGATCTAATTTAATATTCTCTGAAAAAAAATATTTAAAGGGTTTCTTCCTTAGCTGCCACCCATAAATTGTCAATGTTTGTTTTTCTGTCTTGAGAACAAAGGGGTAGATTTGGCACAACTACCCTCATGCTCTGAAACTTAAAGTGACACATAAGGAGAGGACCAACCATACATTCTGAAAGGTTTTAATTCAGTGTTGGTAAATTGAAAAGGTATCAAAAGAATTTTCCAAACATATAAATACAAACGTCACAAATTGATTCAAAATTTGGAATTTAAATATAGTGCTCCAAGAAAACCAACTATTTTTCAAAATGTCTTGCTCAGGCCAAAGTAAAATGCTCCCTGGTGTATTGCTGCCCCATGAAAGACACCCTAAAACAGAGAAAGCTCACAGAATTCCCAGTGCTGGTTCTGGCATGGGAATCCACCCAAAATGCATGCACAAACACGTGCACTGACCTGCAAACAGCAGAGAGAGGTGTGAGCTAACACATCCCAGCCCAGAGATTCCCCAGGCACGTTTTGATCAGATCAACATGCAAGAAGGCATCACTCCAGCAGCCCCATGACCTTGTAGTGTACCTGTTGTTTTCTGCAGCACAGCTGGCTCCTGTGGAAGCTACACTTTCCAGCAGTAGTGTAATGCTATAGTAGCAGCAGCTTGGGCATCATTTTTCACCCAGAAGGACACAAAAAGTTCTACAACAGATTGTTTACTCATGTAACTGCAACCTAACACGAGAATCCTAGCCAGATGCAGACCTTCCAGCAATGGAATTAAATGAGGAGTTGGATGAAAGGACTCTGGAGTTGACAGATGTAACTACAAATAGAGGGGAAAAACTGATGAAGAGCAGAAACAGGAGCTGCCCAGGAGACTGGCTGGCAAGAGAAGACAGATCATTTGCTGCAGGATGGCATCTGCAAGCTCAAAAACTCAGCGTGCAGCAAGGGCAAAATTATGAAGCAAATCCTGTTCCTTTAGAGGTTCATTCTTAATGCCCTAGTCCAACACTTATTAGCAGCAGGACTTAAAAAAAAAAGCCTCAAAGATTTTGCAGCAGGTAGAAACTCAAGGTAATTTCCACACTGGATTGAAACTATCACTTGATAAGATTAAGCACAGGTATCTTTAAAAGTGATCAGGATCCTTCAGTGCTGCTTCCTGCTCAAAAAGACCCAAGCTAGGACTGTTCCTTGGAAGATAAAGACAACATGGTTGCATCTGCACAAATGCAATCCAGTTCACTCTGTGATTTGTTCCTTACACTTGTCCTGCAGCGAGAGACCAAACAGGTACTGGGCTGTACTGGCAAAAGTGGGGCTGCCAGGCCAAGGGAAGGGATTCCTCTCCCAACCCATCCAGCATTCCCAGATCATGTCTGCAGCACTGTCTCTGCCTTTGGGCTCCCCAACACAAGACTCACAGTGACCTCCTGCAGCAATTCCACCTGATGGACAAAAAGAGACCAAGACAACCAGGCTGGTTCAGCCTCAAGAGAAGGAAGCAAATTGGAAAAATCTTACCGGAATCTGCAAGTTCCTATTTGCAACATGCAGAGGAGGCAGAGCTGGGTTCTCCTCAGAGGCCAGGAACAAATGCAGCTGCATGGGAAATTCTTCTTATGTTGCTGAGAAGTTTTCACCTTGTGTGGTGAGAGTGGATTCTCTAAGGAGAGGTACAGAACTACCACCAGGTGAAATCCAAGATCCCCAAATCCAGGGAAACGCTTCTCTTTCACCCTACATTTTGACATTCACTTACACACTAGCACACACCAGTGACACCAAACAAATACCCCCTTGCTGACACAGATGAAAAGCTCCAACACCAACAGAACATCCCCAGCAGGCAGGGAGAAATGTTCCACACCACACTGCAAGGAGTTCAGGTCAGATGCTTGGATACAGGTCCCTAGCCTTCTGTGCTCCATTGTGGGCATTTCTCTACTGAAAAAAGATATAAAAAAAGTAGAAATTAACTCTGAATGACAATTCTAAGTCAGTACAAAAGACCAAACATGCAAGATCAAGTTTACTCCCCCCAAAATCTGATGCTAGACCATGACATTGATGGCAGAAGCACTGTAAGAGCTTGAGCTGTTATTTCTTTCCTTACAAAGCTTTAACATGTCTCTGAAAACATTCTCCTGAATAAGCTCTGCCCAACAGTAACATGTCTACAACACAGCATGAAAATTCATACAGGGTGACCAAAATGACCTTTCTCAACCTGTTCTGCAGCTCCATGCATTCCACAGGTATTTTCATCCTTGAGTCCCCAGGCAGAGCTTAATGCAAGGTGCTGCTCCTGTCAGTGGATAAAAATGACTGGATATGCTACAGGGGACAGTGTTAATGGTATGGGGAAGGGAGGAATATGGGAAGGAAAAAGAGTTGAAAAGAATATATGAGCTAATCATGAACTTCAATTTTGTGCTCAGCACTGTGCTATCACTAAATCAGATTAAATTGATCTTTCTCTAAAAAGCTTTCTGTATCATAAGAGCCAAGGTCAAGACAAACAACATGGAATTCCAGTGGAATAGAACAAAGAATAACTGCATTCAACTCTTGCAAACTGGGGCAAAGAAAGTTGCTATGAACTAACTGTGATCAAAGTAAAATTAATCAATGTCATTGCCTAAGGTGAAAAAAAATCAATAGGGAATGGTGGAAAGTGAATTCACACATGAAGAACTTGCCTTTACAGTTTTCCCAGGTCCAAGTTATTGCAGTTTAAATATTCAATATGCCTTGATCTTCATTACACAGAGAGCAGAAAATGCAGTGAAGCCTCCACCTTCACTTCCCCTCAAACCTTTAGTTAATGTAATCAAAGATGAGATGCAACTTTTTAGACAATAAAAACAAGTCAGATCATAAATTTAAAATAATCTGAGTACTGCATATAACCATTAAGGTAAACATTTTCTTCCTCGTTGAAGACTTAATTCTACCACCACACCTCTGCAGCCTGGAGAATCAGGACTGGTATGTAGAAAGAATGGTGCTGTCATCCAGACTGATCAGGGCTGAAAGAATTCATCTGGAGGCCTGAAAGAAGATGTCTTCATCTCACATGTTCTGGATGAGGACCACACTTTTCCACAGCTCTCAACACGATTTAGCAAGAAAAGTTATTTTACCTGGTACCAGGCAATGTTTAGCCAAACCTACAAAAAATCTGCAAATAGCAGGACTGCTTCCTACAGCAGCAGAGGGATGCAACAGACTGATAAAGCAAAAACCCCCTGACAGGGTGAACTGACAAGCTCCAGACATCTCAAGCAGAAAAGGTGAACAGAACAAAGACATTTGCTTATCCTCAACTCCCATTTGAACCAGCAGGCATTGTGAGCCACAAAAACAAGAGACAGAAAGTGTTATTCTGTTCTAAATACTCAGGAGGCAGAACTACACATGCAACGTGAGGATGGACTTTCAAGAGGTATCTACAAAGCAGCAGCTTTATGGTGGATGAAAACACTGTCACTCAGCTGATGTCCTAGTGCTGGATTAGTTTACAAAATTCAGGGCTTAATTATTTAGACTCTTCAAGAGAAAAGCATCAGCAAAGAAAAATCCACAGAATCTTGGCAGCTCCACATCCTGAGCAGTTTTCTGTTGGTTTTTCATCTTGCTCTGACTCACCCAACATTCTGGAAGCCCAAGGAGTCCTGTGCTTCCGGAGCGCTCCCGAGCCCCGCGGCTGTTTCAGAGGCGTGCCTGTACCTAAACCAGCAGTCACCCGAAAGTAATGATTCATCACAGACACTGTGCTGCACTCTCACTTGTGCCTTCTGCCTAGAAGTTCATTTTATTGACTCCTGGCTTTGAAAAGGCTACAGAAAACAGAGCTAATCTCTGTGCTTTTCCGCTGCGCCACACCTCGCCTTCCTAGCGGGAGAAGGGACAGCTGGAGGCCAGCCTGCTTCAATTACTTTGTGGTCTCTAACAATCCTCCTTCACAAAACCATTTCAAAGTACTAAAATCCCATCTAATAACTTGTCACTAAGGGCACACACCTGAATTCTGAAAGCCCAGCTGAGATAAATGATCTGTCATGAATATTTTATGTGCCTCTCTCCGCAGAAAGTAACCGCAAATCATGAGAGCAAGAAATTCTTTCTTTCTTTCAGCAATATTTCTCACAAAATAATGGACTTGAGAATTAAACATGTCTGGATTTTATTCAAGTGGTGGGACTTGGTTATTGAATAGGATTTGGCAAAGACAAAGGAAACCTAGAAGGGAACAAGTGATGCCAGCTGTTACCTTGTGGATTTTCTCCCCAGATTCCAGCAGGCACCAAAGGGCTGTGCCTTGCCCCTAATCCCCATGGATATGCTGACAGTATCATTTACTGCACACTGGGGAGGGCTTTTTGCAATGTTTCTGCAGTGGGGTTTGCCTGTCTGCCTATTCACAGGACAGCAAATCAGTACAGATGGGGGATAACCCACCAGAGGCACAGCCCACCCCTCTTAAGTCTCTCTTGCTATTACCAAAGCTTTAACATTTGCTAAATTAAAAAATCTCTGCTGTGCTGCCAGAAGACATGTTAGCCAAGGGGACTGCAAAGGGTGTGAAGCCAAAGGGGTTTGCTGGAGGCTACAGGCAGGGGTGGATTTCTTTGCCAGGCATAAGATGTCACAAGTCAAATCTGCCTTCCTTGAAAGACATCCTTGTTCTATGTGAGGAGACGGGAACACAGTGTGAGGAAAGGCCTCCTCCTACTGGCCAACCCAAACGGTCCTCGAGGCAGGAGAGATGGGACAGGGAGCCAAGCAATGAAAGCAAACCTCCAAATCAATTTTGGTAAAACTGTTTGAAGAGCTCCAGTGAGTTTTGCCACATGGAAAATAAAAGAGAAGTCTTTTGCCTTGGTTTACTACACTCTGCCAGAATTTGAATGAACCACGGTATGACCTTTGCTGCCTCTCATCCAAGCCCTAAACTTCCCTCTCCAAAGAGAAACACAAGAATTTTGCTGTTAGCCATCAAAGAGGGTCAGCTCTGACCTCCTGACCAGGGTCCATCAAGCTAAGGACCACACCACCACCAAGAGGTGAAGGTGACAGCTTCAGTGCAGAACATCAACCAGTATTTTCTCAAGTTCACAAAGACAGTGGCCATGCCTTCACCTGCAGTGCTAATTTCAACAAAAGCTGGTGCTTCACACAAGCTGTGATCAATCAAATGCACACAGAGCCTCCTGGAGAGACCCTTCCCCATGGGATCCTCAGGCATCAAGATACTTTGGCTGTTGTCCAGAGCAAGTGATGAATAATTGTTAGAAATTATTTGTTAAGATACAAACCCCTTTGTTTTTAACATCTTTACAGGAACCAAGTTAATACAGTTCCTCTGTCATCCTATTCTCCCTCAGAGGGAATGGAAAGAAATTCCATCTGGAAATCCAGGTGGCTGAGCCCAGTAACTCTTCCTCCTGAATCCCCACATAAATAAACATTTATATTCAGAATTTTCTATTTTAAAAACACAGAATCATTTGCCTTTTTTTTTTTTAAGCTTGGTACCATGTTTCTTTAATGTTGTTGTGAGATACTGCACCCATCTTTCAGCATTTGATTGCCTTAGGTGACCTTTTTAAAATGGTCCTATGGTTCAAAGCTCTCAGAAGCATGGTATTAAGGCATAGAACGTGAGGAGTTTTCTTTCCAGGGAGCAGATTGTATTTGTATTACATTCCTTTAGATTCTGAACTGCAAATCCCATCCCCTTGGAGCCAAAAGGGGAAAAGATAGTTAAAAATATCCCAGCAGTCATACAATCAGTTGTCTGTATTTTTTTTGAATCTTAAAAAACAAAAAAAAAAAAAAAGGAAAAAAAAAAAGGAAAAAACATCCCATAAGTAGAGACAGAACAGAGTTCCAGATATGGGTTCTTGGGAGGGATTTTCCATTCTTTTTGGCACCTTGTGATTATAACAGCTGTTGTCCTCCCATTGAAAAAAAATCTGCCTTTAAAAAGAGCTCTTTATCAGCTGTGTTTTGAACTGTTACAGTTGTGGTTGGTTTCCTGTGAAAGCTGCTTTAGGGCTCCTGCCCTCCCATGCCCACCCCGCCATCGCTCCAGCTCCTCCCACCGCTTCTTCATTCACTGGTTGCCTGTCCCTGTGGCACTGTGGCTGTGATGACAGCAGCCTGGGCTGGCCCTGCTGCCCCGGGCTCCTCCAGCCGTGCTCTCTTCACCTCGGGCTCGCTGTTGGAGGCTGCTGCTGCTGCCGTCTCTTCGGTCCCTGCCTCGCACACCCGGCTCACCACAACAGGGGTGGACGAGCTGGCCTGGGCTGCAAGGAGCTGCAGAGGGTTTGTGAGAGCTGGCAGGGAAGATAAGAAAGAGAAGCACAATTAGTGGGGTGAAGCAGAGCAAGTGTTTGCTATTCCAGGCAATGCAAGAAAAGAAAATCCCACTGTTCAATACAACAGCTGGCACAAGGTCAAGTGTTGCTTCCCAGTGCATTTTGAAAGCCTGGCTTGCCTTGTTGTTCCCTCTCCCTCCACAACCTCAGCTTTTCAAGTTTACCAAACCAGCAACAACTCCTCTCACAGGAGAACTTCCTGCTTCCCCTGCACTATCAAACAAAGCATTGCTAGCTAAGTATTCAGGGGAGGATCAAGCTCTAGCTAAAATTACAACACATCTCTTTGAGAGGTAGTTCTGATTGTAGGTGGCCAGAGAATTTCTCATGAACTCCAACATCCATGTGCTGGGCTTTGTATTTGGAGGTTTAGAGTCTCTCTTGAGCCCTGCTCACACAGGAAGAACAAACCAGGCTATTGGGAAATAGAATCCAAATATTGAGTGTACTGACGTCCCGCTTGTAAAAGGGGCAGGAAAAAGCTTACCCCAGACAACCACATGTGTTCCCATCAGAACTGGGATCAGAACAAAGGAATTTCTGGCTTCCAATCTTCTATTGCATTACTGACACAAGGTCTCACCCTCCCATTAATAAAAGTGGTAAGAAAAAACATTATTTAAGTAGCAACCCTCTGTAAAAATGTCTACAATTCCTAGTTCCAGACAGAGAATGTGCTTACACACTGACTTTGGCACACACCACTGCTTGGAAAACAAAACACATGCAGTTTTTGGACTCTGCATCAATCAGAGAGGAAGCCAAAGGGGACTCAGGAAACAGCACATCCTCTGCCCTCCAGACTCATTTGCAAAGGATGGAATGACTGAACATCAGTGCTGTGTTCACTGCTAAATGCATGAAAAAGGAGCCCTAGGATAAATAAACCAAGCCAACAGAACAAAGGCCCTCAAAGCCCAATAACTTCTACCAAGGCATGAGAAGAAAGCTGTAGAATATCTAGAGGATGAAGGGATAAAATAGGGCATAGATGAGGGCAGTCAGCAATTACAGCTTAGTGACTTAGAGAACCTAAATCATGCAATTGAAGAGAACTTAACTTAGTACAGATGACAGTCAAGATACTCAGGCTTTGTTTTGTGAACTAGAAAATTTACTGCCACTTACAAAAAAACTCAGATGCAACTGGAGTATTTCCCATTTGGTGAGAGATAAAAAGTCTGGTGAGATTAAAATATTTTAACATAAAAATGTAAAATAAAAAACCGCCTGAGTGTATATTAGACAAACGCTAATGCTGGTTAGCAGAAGCTTGACCTATCTGATCATTAATATCGTCTAATAATTGGAGAAAAACCTTATCACTGTATTTTTTTCATAGTTCCAATGAGATTCTTGCAATTGAAGAGCATGCCAGGTGATAACTGTGAAGAAATACGGCAAAAAATTCTGTAGAAACATTCCTACCTTCATGAAAGGCCTCCAAAGCCCAGCAGTGCCCTTCATTTCAAACTCCCAAAAGCACCACCCTGAGGCAACAGAAGTGCTTGGCCTCTCAGAGAAAAAAGCCATAAGAAACCTGGATATTCCCATCCCAACCGAATAAAATCTGAGGTGCTGAGCAAGCAAGAGGAGGCTGCCAAGACATGGCTTGTATGGAATTTCAAAAAACCATGCTTGACAAATGACTAGAACACATCCTGTGTATACAAAAATCCTACATTCATTCACCTGGTGAAATAGATCTTGTTTCTCTCAAGCTTTAAGACTGTAATATGGGAAAGTATGTTATGTTCTTTTTACTTTACCGAGTCATGTTTCACAAGATCTAAAGAGCACCATGGAAATTTTATTATTTGGCACGCTGCAAGCCAAGGCTGTTGATCAGAAGAAAATAAATGAGAACAGGCTCTCCACAAGAATCACTAACACTTTCAACAAGTAACCTCAAGAGGTAGAGAGTCTCAGTACTAATAACTGCATAGCCAAGGGCAAAGGAAGGACAGAGAGCAGTGCTTTTCCCTCAGGAAAGGCAGCAAGGTGGACGGAAGGGAAGGGAACCTCCCACTGATTTACAGCTCTAGAAGTGGAAGAACTGCAATATCTTTGAGCTGGACACATGGAATAACTTGACACACAGAAACAAGAGGAGAAACCCTTGCAGCTTTACAGCCTGGCTGTGGGCTGGGGGAGCAGGGGCAGGCAGGGGCTGGTGGGGAACAGGGGCTGGGAGCAGGGGCTGGCAGGGAGCAGGGGCAGGCAGGGAGCAGGGGCTGGGAGCAGGGGCAGGCAGGGGCTGGGAGCAGGGGCTGGCAGGGAGCAGACCCACCGTAGGCGCTGCCGGCGATGCTGTTGGTGGGCACGGCGTGTTTGCCGTTCTGGGTCACTGCCCGCACTGGGAGCTGGTGCTGCCCCAGGGCCACGGGGGCTGCCTGCTGCAGGATGGTGACAGTCTGACCAGGGACACCCTGGGCCATCTGGCTGGCCACTGTCTGGATGACACGGCTGGCCGTGGGGATGGTGGCAAACGCGATCGTCGGCTTCTCGTCCATGCCTGTGGAAAGGCAGAAAGAACAAGGATCAGTCACTGCCCTGGCTTAGAGGCAGGTTTTATTCTCATTAACCCAGGGATTAATGAGAATTAATTAGCAGGGATACACACCCCAGGATTACAATACCTCAGCACCGCAGAAGGTCAGGGATGAGTATTTGGAAACATTAAAATATTCTCTATTGTACATTTACTCTATCAATATTAAAAACGTTTTTCCTACAGCATAAGCCACAAGAAAAATTGAAAAAAATCAAACACATCAATTTGACCTTCTGCCCTAAAAAGGCATCACCTCCCTTACTGGCACATCACAGCTGTGATATGGACAGCAAGCACTGCAAATCTCATAGCTTACTTTGCAATTTCAAACAAACCAGCCTGACTTTCAATACCACACAGCAGGAGAAGGCATTAAGATCTTAAACAATGCCTGGAGCCAAAAGTCTGCAGCAGCTTGCTGTCAGGCCTGCATGGAGGCTCATTTACAAGGAGGTCTTCCCACAAATGCCTGCTTTTGCTGTGGAAGTACAGATTAAAAACAGGATGGAGTAAAAATAAAAAGGAGAGCAGAGTTTCTGGACAGAGGGAACTGCTTGAGAGCACTAAAGCACTTTTCTCACTTCCCAGGATAAGTAAGGGGTTAATTCAGCAGGTATGCCACAGATACAGGACAGCATCCTGTCAGGCAGCAGGAAAGGAGAGGAACCACTCTTCCAGGGGCTCTGTGGGTCCCAAAGGACAGAGGGCAGGAAGCACAATCTCATTAGTCCTGTAGGAAAAGAAGGCCTCTCCCATTTGAACACTTGCACACAACAAGAGGAGTTAGATGTGACATCAGCACTGAGGTGAAACCTGCAGGCAAGCTGATGGCAATGGGGAGAGAACAGGCAAGGGAAGTAAGGAGCTCAGGAAGGAAAATACAGCAAAGACTGGAAAATGACACAAGTGAGACAAGCAGGGAAAGAACAGACAACAGCAAGAACCAGGGGATGAAAGAAGGGAGCAGGTGACAGGCAGCTGCAACTTAGTGCTTCAGGAACATGCATGGGATCCAGACAGGAATTTCTACAGAATGCAAGTGAAACTCAAGCAAGATAACCAATGCTGAACTAAAAATGCCAGGGGTCCTGCTGCTGCAAGAGGGGAAGCTCTTTGTCATTTTTGCCTTCCCTTAGAGAGAAGGACCATTGTCCCTCTGCCCACATAAAAGCAGCCAGAGAAACCAGCCTTACTGCTGCTGTAACAGACACTGACCTTGTAGCACTAAGACCTTCTGAAATGGGGAGCAGACAAGGTGTTGTCTAGATCACAGCAAGAGAATATTTAACTTACGAAATCCCCCAAGGCTGGAATTTCCAGCTTTGGGACAAAAAAAGGGCTTTGTTCTAACTGGTTTTTGAAGATTGCTTTAATGGGGCACTGCCTGCACTTCCAGAAGCACACGCTTTCCTCTAGGAATCCAGGCCTGCAGAAAAGAAGGGCTCAATCATTTATTTACAAAACCATCCTGAAGCAGAGTTGCAGCCTTTCCCAGGCTCTCTCTTTTGGCTGGAAAGCGCACATGCCTTCATAGCCAATACACAGAGATAATACTGGTATTGGGGATGATTAAAAAAGCACGTATAGGACAAAGGGGAATGGCTTCAAACTGAAACACCAGGTATAGATGAGATATTAGGAAGAAATTCTTTCATGTGGAGGTGGTGAGGCCCTGGCACAGGCTGCCCAGAGAAGCTGTGGCTGCTCCATCCCTGAAGCGTCCAAGGCCAGGCTAGATGGGGCTTGGAACACCCTGGAATAGTGGAAGGTGTCCCTGCCCATGGCAGGGGGATTGGAATGAGATGATCTTCAAAGTACCCTCCAATCCAGATCATTCTGTGATTCTATGGTAATAAGCAAATTTTAAGCACTGCACATTTCTCAGGCTCTGAAGGCTGTTAGTTTTGTTCCCCACAAGACAAGGGAACACAGTTGTTCTGCTCTCTGGTGGAGACAAAAAATGGATGAGCTCTCATTTGGTTTAAACTTTACCTGGAGAAACATCTTTTTTAATGGCTCAGTGCCCAGTGAGTGAAAACCTTCAAGACTTATTAGCAGAGTAGCAAGGGAGGTGAACGCTACCTCGGTGGTCAGCAGCTAAGTCCAACACTGCTCCTGCAGCTTCATGAGCTCCTCCTGCTGTGCCCTGGTTTGTGAGGATGTAGCCATTTGCAGAGTTTGCAGAGGAGGTCACCACTCGGACCATGGTGACAGTGGGGGCTTGCTGAACGACGTGGATTGCGTGGCACGAGGGCTGCTGGGAGGTCACTATGGATGCTGGCATGTAGGCCACTGGCTTGGCCACCAGGGTGGATGGTCGGGGAGGAACAGCCATAATCACTGGCTGGGCACTCACTGGAGATCCTGAACAGAAAAGAGAAGCACACGTTAACAGGAGAGGTGAAAAGATCCCCATTTATTTTATCTGTGTACTTCCAGTCTACTCAGTGCTGCAGCATTAGCAGGAATGGAGGTAGAAACAAACAAACAAAAAAATCAAATCTTCAAAAATACCACCCTTTTCTCCCTCTTCACTAATGTACAAAAACCCTACTTGTCACCTGAGCACATTTCTGTGAATAAAAGCCATAATAAACATAAGAAAATACCTCAAATCAAGCTTTCCTTAATGAGCTTTGCCTTCCAACCTCACCCTATACCCCAGGTCAGCACAGCTGACAATCAGATATTTACCAGGTCCTGGCCACAGCACCAGAGCTTGGTGTAGCCAAGCTGATCTTATCCAGAGGCTGGTAAATGAGAGAAGTGAGCTGTGTGTTGCCATGGCTACTCTGCTGTCAGATCTTTACAGCCACCTAGCTCAAGGTGAGATCAGCTGTCCAAAGAGGAGTCAGGAAAATGGTTTGAAGTTGTACTTGTACCATCAGTCTCTAACAACAAAGTGGAAGGAGAGTCCTGGATCCTCCAAAAAACCAGTGCAGAAGCCTTCCTCAGCATGGTGTCCTCAGCCTGGCATGTGGGGCAAGTGACCAGCAGGCTCTGGAACAGGAGCTACTCACCGGGCGCGCTCTGGGAATAGCGATACTCTGGAACTGAGGCCAACTTTGAGCCAAAGTCGTGATCGTGTGGAATGGGTGAGCCCTCCCGTGACAGGCACTCTGGAGTCTGTAGGCCACTAGAGTGAGGGGACAGCAGGCCAGGGTGAGTAGGGGAGGCAGGAGCACTCCTGAAACACCAAAACACAGCGTTGGCAAGTGCAGATGTATTTTGACCACGAGACAGCAGCAGAGACCCAGAGTTATGTCCAGCAGAGGATTCTCTAGGAAGGACAGCCTTTCCTCCACACCACCCACTGCAGTCCTGCTGGGAAGAGCTGAAAGGTACACAGGCATCCCACAAACACTCCAGCTCCAAATACTGTTGTGTTATTCCTTGCTGAAGAAAACTGGACCCTTCAGATTTCATTGTTAGACCCACTGCTGACAGAGAATCCCCAAATGCTGCACACCCAGATCAGTTTGATAACTTTAAGTCATTCTCAAAGAACCTGTGTCAGAGTTTGAGAGTGACAGGGAGAAGAAGAGAGATGCAAGCAGAGGCAAATGTCTGGCCCTGCACACGCTTGCAGAGCAGTTGCTTCCCTTTCTCCCTGTTGCCTCCCTTCCCAACCACTTGGTTCCCACTTCTGGTCCCAAACACATGAGGAATTGTACATTTCTTTATTGACAAATCAGAATAAAAAGCTGAAAAATTCTCCTCCTGTTTCCCCCACATTTTAACAGAGAAAACAGGAGGTGTGGGAGGAATGTTCCATGAAATTGCTACAGCTTGTGCTGAATTCCAAGTCTTCTCCTCACAGCTACAGGGCTCAAAGAAGCTGTCAGTGCACAAGGCAGTGGAGCTGACTGGAGCAGCCACACAGAACTCCTGCTGCTCCACTGCTGACAACCACCATCAACCTGATCTCCCTATAGGAGACTGTTTTAAATACCACAGAAGTTATTCCCACTATGATCTAATCCACATCTAAACACAGCTTTCCTGAAATCAGAGATTGGCATCTGAAAACACTCACTCCAGTGATAACTGCTTTGAATTTCTTTGAAATGATGCCAAAACAGATACGTTATTTGATGCATTTTTGTAGTTTGCTTCTGGATTTTTTTTTTTTTAAACACTTAAGAAGTCAGAACAATTTTCAGATTATGCCTCAGGACTAACTATATCACCTCTCAAACTATAAACAGAAGCAAAGTATGCTCACTGTACTTCAGGAGAAGTTTTAGTTTATTTTCTTTGTAATGAGTTTGGCAGAGAGATGAGAGGAAATTGAAGTTACCTGGAGGAGAGAGGCCCAAAAGGTGTTCGGAAGCAGGACACTCCTCTTTGCCTTCTTTTTCTAAATGCTTGTTCTACAAGTTTGGCTTCAGAGGCAGGGTCAATCCTCCAAAAGGAGCCTTTTCCAGGCTCCTCTTGGGAGCGTGGGACTTTAATAAAGTAACGGTTCAAGGAGAGGTTGTGCCGAATGGAATTCTGCAGGAAGCACAGGAATGAGCTGATTATTTTGCCACGAAGTAACAAAGACAAATGAGTTGCACCACACAGCTTGGAAAAATAAATCCACACTGCCAGAATCAGTGTTGAAGGTAGAAACAAGTCACTCAACTCACACAGCTCCAAAGTCACAGGAGAACAGCAGGATAAACCTAGGGGAAAGTGTCAGAATTTCTCCTGACCAAGCTGAAAGATGGGTTTGCTTGGTACCAACCATTACTTAAATACATCTGGAGCCAGAGCAGTGACTTCTCTGTGGAAAGCCATGAAAGCAGAGCTTTTGCTGAGGCAGGGGGAAATCACTGTAAACCACATTAGAACTCTCTCAAAAGACAGGCTTTATTCTTGGCAAGTGGAAAAAGTTGCCTGAGCCTGTGCTAACTGCTCACCTGCCAAACGATTACCAGGGTGCCCAAACATGCCCTAGAGGACACTGCATCTCACAGTAATCACAATGCAAGGCAGCCAACATGCCCTCAGCCAGCTCTGGGAGGAATCCATGAGCTCTGTGGCACTCTGCAGCTCTCTGGATGATGGCACAACTGTTTATCCTTTCCACTGTAACAGCCCATCTCTTACAGGGTGCAGGTCTGCCTTTTGGGCTGGGGAAGGGCTCAGCAAGCCTCCGTGCGCACAAACTCATCCCTCTTCCACTTTCAAAACAAAACCTAATCTTCTCTAGAAGGTTTAGACAATCTCTTCACTGGTGAAGCCTCACAATGCCACTGGAGGGGAGAGAAAAAGGCAACTCCACTCCCTGCTGAAATGCAGCTCTCTGAAGGAAGATGCAGCAAGTGGTTCACAAAGCACAGCTCTGCTGAGCAGGTTAGGGCAGGAAGTGAATTCCACAATTAATTAGAACTGCAGGGAAAAGCCAGGGAGGCAGAAATGTATTTATTCCAACTGCACTCAAAGTGCACCAAGCAGTGCTGCTCCTGCCAGTTGCACACAGTGAAATCAACAGCTGCAAGAGCCTTTGCAGCTGTATTAGTGTATTACATTCAAATGGCAACACCCATGGCAGAGGTGTGATGCCAAGAAAAAGTCTGAAAGCAGGTGGAGTTGAGGTTCTTGAACCTTTGGAAGCAGCCCTCAAGTGAACACTGAAGTTTGATTTAGCATGTGTTAACTACATCCAAACTCTCCTCTGAAGCTGGTCAGGTTTCCTTGAGTACCACAAAGAGTCCATGGACTCCCAAGTTTCCCAAGTTCCCACTCAAATTCAGAACTTACAGACTGTGACTTAGGCAGTGTAGCTGATACACTGGGAAAACAAAACATCTGTAATGATTTAAGGTGCTATGATTAAAAACTGGAGTCTCAGTTTTAGGCTGGATATCCTCTGCTTGGAGAAATCATGTCAAAGATGAGGTGAAGGATTAAGCAAGTATCTGGGCAGAGGAGTGACTGATAGCAAGGATGCAGGGAAATAAAATACAAAATGAAAGACACATGACTACAGCATGAAAAGAGGAACCAGAGAGCCCAGCAGTAACACACTGCATTGCCCTACAAAGTATTCAAAAAAAACCCAACAAAACTAATCACCCACAAATGAACTAGTCAGCTTGTGTTAAACAAATTCACTCTGGGAACAGTCAAAGCAGCTCTATTCCCAGTGCCCCAAATCTTTAATAAATGCATTTCAAAGCAGATAAGCCATGTCAAAGTAGTTTAAAAGCTTGTCAGTGTCAAGAACTCACCTGCCAGCCTTTGTCAGCAGTCCTGTAATATGGATAATGCTTGGTAATGTGGGCATAGATCCCACTTAGTGTTAATTGCCTGTCCTGTGCTGAAGATATAGCCTGCACAATTAGTTGAGCATAAGAATAGGGTGGCTTGGATTCATCCTAAGCAAGAAAAAAAACCAAACAAAAATTTAGTTACTAACAAAGAATTCCTATGCTGCAGCACCACAACCCAAACTTAAAAAGCACATTGGGCTGTGATTTTCACTGATGCCAAGAGAGCAGCAGGGCAGCTAAGAGAGCATCAGCTCTCCCACTGCTGTTTTATGCTGCCACCACCCCATTTTGCACAAGCATTTGTGTTCAAACAGAGCTACAGGGCTGAGTCAGATCAAAGTATCTCCTTCCATCTCCCCACAAACACACATAAACCCCAACTTCAATCTGATTCCATTCCCCACTGACTGTCCCACACATGCTCGCACCAGCACAAGGAAAGGGGTCAAGACAGGCAATTGGAATCAAGAAACAGAGTACAGGTACATTCACTGCTTTCTGTGCTTGTGAATTAAAGCCTTCAGGTCTGCCCAGCTGCAGCTCCACTCTGCTAGAAAGGTTTGAGGCTCTATGTTATCAGCCCTCCTCCCAGCAACAAGCCCAACATGAAACCTGACCCCATCCCTTCCCTTCTCCAGCAGGATTTGTTTCATTCTAGGAACTTTAATTTGTTTGCTAGATCTCGTATTTCCAACTCTTCACATTACTCCATCAAGAACAACCCTTCTTGTCTCAAGGGAGAATTAACTCTACAAAAAAAGCCATCTAGTAGTGTGCTCCTCCACCCAATCCCAAATCAGGTGGTTTTGGATAGGGAACTTTTAACTTTGATCTGAAGATCAGCTTACCAAAATTATATTTTATCACTCTAACCAAGTTATGTTTTTAATCTAGATTCCACTTGCCACTCTCCTCATTTAACGCCTACTTGACAGGCCTTCATGTTTGTTTTAAAGTCTGACTACAGACTTCTCATGACAAGGATCTGGTTTCTTCCCCTGCTTCTGCTTTCTCCAACTGTGTTTTGCAAAACACCATTAATTAAAAGAAGAAAATGAGATGCTGAATTTTATATGCCTCTTTATGGGATCTTGATTTATCAAATAAGCAAAGATATTATTCTTGCCTAAACACTTTAGTGAGTGATTTGAATACATTTTAGGCAGCTAAGCAAGCAGAGACTACCACTAAGCCAAGCACAGCTGGAAGGAATGACCTCCACCCCCTGCAGGACACTGTACACGGCACCCTTATGGCCAGAGTGTTCTCAAACCCCTTTAAACTCTAACCAGGACTAGCAATAAAGCCCCAGGCTTTAATAATCCTCCCAAGGAGCAGTGCTGGGTAAGTAATGTTTGTGTGAACCTTTGGGCTGTCCCCGCCGGATGCGTCTGCCTGCTGCTCTGAGGCTGCCTTCGCCGCATACTCTGCTGCCAGCTGCAGATCCGAGGTAATGTTGTGAACAAAACGATATCCTGAGGATCCAGCACCACGTGGACTGGCTGGGCAGGAGTTGGGAACACTGGAGAGGCAAAAAAAAAAATCAAAAATAAATACAGTTGTTATTTCATTTATTAGCAAGGCATGCAGTTGTTACTCTCGAAGGTACAGTAAAGCTCTCTGGTCATGGAGAAGCAGATGCAATGGCCTTACTTTTGCCCCTGTGGCTTATCCAAAGCCCAGACAGATTGAGAAAAAAATCCACCAGAGATAAAATTGGAATTTCTACAAAATCCTGACACTCCCTGCCATATACACTTCCTGCCATCATGACAGAGCAGTGTTTCAAAGTATTAAACAACTCCTTTGTGTTTAGAGAAGCACTTCAAACTTCAAACAACATACAGTGTATGAGGGATGAATATTTAGGTAAAGGGATAGTTTGTTAGTATGACTTGTTAAGGAACAACACACCAATCTCCTTGTAACACAGATCATAGTTAATCAATCCTTTTAACAGACACTTCTACAGCATCAGAGCTAAAGCACCCAGAGCAGGGATCTGCCATGAAGGTCCCTGACACCACAACTGAGCTCCACAAGCCTTTCCCTGACACCAAACAGCTGGAGCCAGGCGTTTCCTCGATTCACCCCACACCCAGCAAAGGGGAGCTGCACTCACTGCCTACACAGAGGCAGCCCAGCATCAGTTCTGGCTGGAAAAGGCACATTCAGGGTGGCAGGGCCACCACAAGATGGCATTACAGGAACGGTGACTGAGCACCACAGGCTGTGAAAGGTGATAAAACGCTACAAACACATAAAAGGGGGCTATAATTTGCAACATCACTCAGGCACACAGAAATGAGTGCTACAAGATGAGAACTAATTAGAAAGGCTTGTCTAGGGATCACACGCCCTTGATTTTTAGGGTTGGAAGAATCAAAGAATGGTTTGGACTGGAAGAGCCCTTAAAGATCACCTTGTTCAGCCCCCTGCCATGGGCAGGCACACCTCCCACTGGACCAGGTTTTTCCAAGCCCCATCCAACCTGGCCTGGAAGGATGGGAGGGGAGGGATGAGTCTGGGAAGCTGAAGTTCCCTTTCTCTGTCTCTCCCTGTCCTGTGCTGTCCAGAATTGAGGGATTCAGAGCCAGAACAGCAGGATGCACAGCCAAATCCCAGGATTACAAATGTCTTCTAGGAGCAGAGAAACAGTAAACAAGAAAGCAAACCAATACACAGAAGATTTACATAGCAAAACAAGCAGTTCAAATGGTATGAAAAGATGCAAATTGAAGCTCACAGCTGGAACTAGAATTCAGTAAAACTGGCATAAACAATCCTCTTACTGGTGAAATGCCCAATAACTGACAAACAAATGCTGACACTCATCATAGCACTGCAGCAAATACTGTATGAAAAAACATTGAAAAAGGTGACTGGTTGGATAGCTTCCCCCACATAGACACAGGGATGGAGAGCAAGCAGTGATACAACCCCTGTTTGCTCAGTGGGCAATACCTTGGGTGCAGAAGCAATTTGTCAGTGTAAGGAACGAGCATTTCCTACCACAGTCCAGCCTGTAAACTGAGAAGTGCTGCTACTCCTTGTGGTGTCTCTGCAAATGGCTGCAGTGCTGAGCTCAGCACAACCCAGACTGGTTTCTTTTAAAAGTGAATTACAGAATGGGGGAGCTGGGGGCAGAAAAAGGCAGCAGAAATATCCAGCAACAACAAACCCTTGAAATAGGGAACCCAAGCTCACTCCTGTCCCATATACCAGCCTTGTACAGCCCCTGGTAACCCTTTCAGTGCCCCCCAATAGTCCTGGGCACTCATGGGTGATGCTGTTCAGAAGCACAGCAGAAGGGAAAGCTTTCAGGTAGTGCAAGGTATAAAATGTTGATGAGCCCATACTTACAGATCTCCCTTTGCCAGAGATAAAGGCATTTCTTGCCCAGCCTTTCAAAGAGCAGAGACCTATTTGTGCAGGAAAATGAATGAAAATTTCCTACTCCAAGCTTTGGAAGTGGGTAATTCTAAACCACAGAAGACACTCTTGATGTCTTAGTATTCACATGAGGAGCTGGTGTGAATTTAATTATTCTGCTGTCACTTTTCCATAGCTTCTTCACATATACACTTCTTATAATGTGCAGATAATTACAACTGAAAGCCATTTTCATACATGAAACAATGACAAACTAAAACCACAGTGATTCTTTTTGTGTTTGGCACCCAAGCAATTATTGTAACACACGGGGTAGAAATGGAATAGGATGAAACAGTTTTCTGATTTTGTTATTTGTCTGCAGAAGTACACAAACAGCAAACCACAGAGACAGCAGCCAAAACTCAGGACAAAGATATGGAAGAAAGAAAAGTTCTCCAATAAATCCATGCTCTGCAGAGCTGTATTTCTTGCTTTTTCTTTTTAATAAATACATAAATAAAAATAGATAAAAGAATTTATTCCTTTATTCAGGATCAGCAGAGCAAGCAGCTCAGTTTTTGCCTCTCCAGCTGTAGCGTCTGAATTTCAAGTATGATCTCTTGCTATAAAAAAAACAAACAAAGAAAAAACCAAAGGGAGAAACCCATTCCTTGCAGGGCTGTGATTCTCTGGAGTGTTGACAAAGCCCTTCCAAACTAAAGTGTTAATAACTTGTAGAAAAGCCAGGCTCTCCCAGCAGATATTCACTGAAGAACAGGATCCTGATCATCCCCTAAAGAAGCAGCTGCCCCCTGGGACAGCCACAGTGATACCACAGATTTGGAAGAGATACTAATCTTTTATCAGAATGAAGCCCTTTTGTCCAGGCAGATCTGCTTCCTTTCAGCCTGGATCAATGATCAAATCAAGAGATGTGGGGACAGAACAAACACCAGGTTCAGGCACTCCAAGCACAGACAGGGTAACACATGCTGCTGAGTGCTCAAGCTCTCAGTCAATCATCACAGCTCTTCAGAGGGGAGGCAGAAAGAGCTGACTACTGGAAAAAACAAGGAGACACAGTCTGTTCCCCTCCCAACATGGGACAGAAGGAGTGAAGAAACAGTTTTACTAAAAATACCCCTCTGAGGGTTAAGTTAAAATTAAACATTAGTACAGTCAAAAGAAAACAAGCAAACACAATGCAGTGACATCAGTTTCCTGGAGTTCCTGGAATTCTCCTCACCACTCAAAGCCAGGGGCTGGCCGGGGATGCTTGCATGCACTCACACCCCCTTTAAAAATATTATGAAACAAAGAGTTTTCCCTACAAACACCTGTTTGTGCTACAAAGCAAAAATCAACTGCAAGGATACCAATAATAATTTGCTGGATATTAACATGGCATCAATACTTGGCCATAACTTGATCCATGTTGATACTATAACCTTTCACTGAGAAAAGCACCCCTAGGTCTGCAATTTCACCCTGCTCTGACATCCCACCACACTGCTGTGATCCATGCTCACTGTCCAGGCTGGCAAACTCAGCTTACAAGCAATCCAAGCTAATTTGGGTTAGGCTTGCTTGATATCGAAGAGAGCATTTTGGAGAAGAACCAAGTGTTTTGCACTACTGAAAGGCACACAGAGCATGGAAATAACCCAGATGCAGTTACCCACAATCTCAATCCTATGGTACCATGGTTAATGCCCCAAATGCCAGAGATCTTTGATATCCATTGAGGATTCAGCATCTCAACGTGAAACAGTGACTGCAGGCAGCCACTGAGCCACAGCTCTCTAAATACCATGCTGAGAACTCAGCTTTAGAATCAGACTACAACCACGTGCTGAATCACACCAGTTCTCTGCAGCATGTTTTCCATTTCAGACTTAACCCTCCTCTGGCAGGAAGGCCAGCAAGATGAGGGCTGAAGGCAGTGTCTGCAATACACTCACCCATGGAAGTGGCAGGATGCCTTTTAAACACGGGGCTTGAACGTTCTTTGGAACACCACAATTCACTTTCAACTCCTGCCAAGAGGAACCCAGCCTGCAAGTTCACAGCACTTGCTAGCAGCAATTAACTCTAAGCTGCTGGAGAGTGTGTACAATGTGCTGCACTGCTATTGGAATGTCCACAATCAGTTTGTTTAACCAAAGAATCAGCCTGCAAAAATAGGGCGTACCACTGTGTGCATGGGGCATTCACACCAGGACACTGTGTGTTGCTTGTCTATTCTCATTAAAAAAAGAAAGAAAGGAAAAAGGATAGAGCAGATCAAGAGAAGGTAGTGACAGGGATAAGCAGGATGATTGGAGATATGGAATGGATTTCAAACAAGAAAAAATTGTTAAAGACAGAAGTTGAGGTGCAAAGTGACAGAGCTTTAAAAACAAAGCCAACAGGAAGTGTGTAGCTCTTGGCCTCTTGCACCTGAAGAGATGGTGAGCACAAAATGAAACCAAGCAGCACGTCCAAAACAAAAGAAAGTGCTTCTGTTTCTGTGGCTACACTGTGGGGTGACTGTGGGGTAAGACAGGGCTGATGAGAAAGTCTGTGTGAATGGAGAAGGCCAGAACACAAATTCGTGGGGAAAGGGAAGGACAGAGAAACCATCAGGGCTTTAGAAGATAGTCATAAGTCTCTGGTCCAAGGCAGTCTCCTATCCAAAAAAATGGAGGCAAACTACACCTAAGTCAGCATTACTCTGGTTTTTATGTTACACAATCCCCAAGATATCTATGTCTGAGGTAGAACACTGCTAGAGGGATCTGTTTCCTGGGCACATTCAGATTCTCACATAAAGATTTCCACAATCTCTCAATACTAGGCACGTTTTATAGACTAGGCAGTAATAAAAATAAAAATGAAGCAACAAGTACTTACATTATTTATTTATGGTCATATTACAAGTCTGTGAACAATCTGGAAACCAAAACACTTCCAAATTCCAGTGCCAACTTCCCCAGAAGGAGAGGCAGTAGTACAATGCAGGAAAGTTGCCCTATTACTAAACTGAGGGATCAGCTATGGAGGCTAAATTTAAACCAGGTATATGGAAAAAGCACATATCCTCTCTAAAAACAAAGAGGAAAAATTACCTGAGATCCCATTAAGAATTGTTCTCCTGACTTGGAATCT